CAGTAGCATAGAACAATGGCAGAGATGAAAAAGTGGAACTTATTTATTGACAGAAAAGAAGAACAGTGAAAGTACAGTTATCTTCAAGTGTCAAGGAGTGTGAAAGTGAAGGATTTATATTCCTATAATCATTTAATACACAAAAGATTTTAATTTCAATAATATTTATATTGGTTAAGGGTAATAAACAGAATTGATGTAAGATTACAAAGGTTTCAAGGTGAGGAAAAGAAGTAAAAAAATATGTGGATGAACAAGGTATAAATTTCTAATGAAAAATTAAATAGAAAGAGATATAGTTGGACTGGTAGTAATATGTTCCACTAGATTTACAGCTTCCACTCCCTTCTCTTCATTTTAAATTACCTATTTCTGCTGGCTGCTTTTATTTATCCTGGTACAAAAGTGACATTAATAAAGACAGCAATAAACTTGTCTATGAAATCTAATAAGATGAATGAAAGTAACATAGCTCAGCTAGCTAAACTGATGTTAGTCAGCATGTGTGTACTAAACTGTATCACTGTGTGTGCACTGAACCGTAGAGATATTTGGGCCTCAGGTTCAAATCTATCTACGTGAGTGAATAGGGAGCTTTTGATTGCACGACGACGGTAGGACGTAATGACGTCACTAAAAGTCATCTGTGCATGCGAGAAAGTTAAGGTCATCTCGAGTAGATTCTGGAACGCAATTTGGCCAAATCTATGTATGCAAAGAACGTAGGACGCCAGGTAGGACAGTCAAGCATGAGTGATTCCGTTCTAGCGTCGCACAAATCGAAAGCTCTCTATTATCTTATGGGAGATACGCTGAAGTCGTTCAATCCTTCTGTGCTTTTTAATGCTCATTAAATCGGGCATTCACTATGCATGACAGTCATCGGCCAACGTGATTCTGTGGAGAAGACGTTGTTATGGTGCGCACACAACGGATTGTTTTTAATGTTCTGTTCAGACTGTGATTCAGCAGACGGTGTCATGCTGTCTATCGCTCACAAGGAGTGGAGTCGGATTCGTTGTCCGACAGTCGTACAACGCAGTGTGTGCCCGGCTTAAAAACCCATATCAGAGGGAAGAGGAGGTGGTTTGCCAGTATACAATGACTAGCCAGTGGCAGATCCAAAGGGGAGGGGGATCAAGGGTTTTGGACGAACCCCTCTCTGTGAATAAACGTAACAAAATACAACTGGGTCCTGGCTTACAAAAGGCATGCTAACCTACTGTACCTAGGCATAGTTTGGAAGATCAGACAAACAGGCTTAGCCCAACTAGTTTTCAATTAAATAAATTATACACACTGTGTTTGGTTCGCCGTCGTAATCATTTATGTATGTTCTTCAGGCCTATCGGTTCATCGATCCAAGGAAGAAACACTACATCTAACTACTCAATGTTGTTGGAATATAATAATATAAATTCTGTCTTTGATTTTTTTCCTCTATGATAGGCTTAAAGAATGAGATAAAATTACTTGACCTTTTTTCAAGAGGGGGAAAACCTTGAATTTTGAAGAACTTAAAGGTCATCATTAAAAGACTCCTCAGAAACTACTATTGACACATGTGAAATATAATATTTCACTTCAATTATTTCAAATTTGTTAAAAAATTATTCTGACCAAAATTTCGACAATTAAACAAACACATCTCAGGCCTTCTTGATCGACCGTAGTGTGAGAAATGCAAAGTACAAAAACTCATCTCATTAGAGAGGCCGCACTTTACTGACTGTATAAAGTATACACAAAAGTGAGAGTTTTTCAGCGGATGCAATCTACAACCTCTGAATCTGCCTAGTAACGAAGAAGTCGTCGAGCAAACGGTAATCGCCTATGAGAAATAGTCACTATATCTCATTTTTTTATATCCTTTTGCATACAACTAAAATTTATGCCAATATTTTTCCATCGTTTATAATAATTAAAGTAATGCATATGCATTTTTTCTAAAAAAATTATTTTTTTAGTGAAATTTTACTAGGAATGGGGCTTTAAAGTTTAAGTGACTAGTCTTAACTGGGTCAACTGTTTTTATTCACTTAATTATTTATTAATTTTGATATAATAATTAGCAATCAATAGCTGAAATCTATTGTATTATAAAATATAGTATTCTATTGTGATTGAAATACTAAAATTTACAATTAAAATTTGTATAATTTAATATAATGCAATCAAAAACAATAAAAATAAATTATGTTGTTAAAGTAAATAATACAATATTATTATTATGAAATATTTCCATGTTAAGTAACATTATACACATTGCACATATAGAAATGGAACAATATGTCAGTGTGGTGGCTATTATCTCAAATAGGCCCTTATACTGTAGTTGGTTTGTACTATTAATAACATATGATATATATCTGGAGGTGAATGCTTATAAAGCTTCATTTTGTATATATATGAAAAGTTATCACGGAAGTATCTGGAGTCCCCTGGAAATCGGGACCTCCTCCCACAAGCAACCACGAATCTCAAAAATAACCCATATCTCTCCAATTCACAATATTGGCACGTTTTAACTAGTACTGTATTATCAATTGTCTCAACATAAGTCAGTGTTGATGGGTATAACTATGCACAGCAAAATAAAATTAAATATGTTAAGACAGGTAATTTAACTAGATCTCCCGGAAGGGACCCCTGTTTATGAATTACCTGCCGATTCCTCCTATGGCCAAGATTACATTGTATCAGCTACAAATGTACTAAAATGGTGCAAAAAATACCAAGAATAAGATAGCAACTCGGGCTATTTTTGGGCAAGGTTTGTTATAATATTAATAATACATTAAATACACCAGGACTTGAATGAACCTTGAAAATTTATATTTTAATATTCCTCAATGACTTTATGTCCACAAAGGAAGCCATTAATAGCTTATAGTTCTATTATAGCCTCCTGCAAGCAGGATAAACATGATTAGAGACAGGTAGAAAATGGACTATAAATTATAGACCAATGTATACATTACTTAGACTTCTTATAACAGTCTGTTAAAGAACATTATGTTTTAATGAACCATTTGTTTGAACTAAAAAGTAAACAAAGATGTTATTTAGTGATAAGAAACTTAAAAGCAATATTAATATCCTTGATTTTTTTATTTTCTATTTTTAGACCACCTTTGTCAGAGTACTCCAGCAGTATGTCTTTGGGCTTTGAATGGAAGGATATTGAGTTCAGGATCAACATAGTGACGGTGCTAGGGAGGGGAGAGGATTGGTCAGAGGCAAGGATGCTTAATCTGCCTGTCAAACAGGCCAACCCTCTTGTTTTGTCAAGATTCAAACTATAAAATGGCAAAGAATTATTTGAATACACTCATCATGCATCTTACCCAGCTCTTCCCCCCCCCCCTTCCCACACAACCATCCCAAGTGTACCATCCATGGAATTGGTACATGAGGATATCAATGATTAGGATATAAATTAGGTGGGGGAGGGAGGTGCGAAATTTCTTTTAAGAGAGAATAATTGGATGGGCAGACCACAACACTCCAGAGAGGGTCCAGGAGGTGAAGCCACTGGGAACAATTAGGGGGTCTGAAATGCTTAAATATCAATTTTAGAGTTTCACATTAAAGTTCTGTAAAAAATCATATAAGAGGGGCCCGCCATTGGTAGGGCTGAATTTCCTGCATGAATATGAATAGGAATTAAAAGAATAATGAGGTGGGGGAAAGGGGGGGAGCTCTCACCAAGGGCAAGGAGTACCACTGAGAGGGCCACCATTGGCCGGGCTGAATCTGTTGTGCAACCCTGATGAATAAATTATATAAAGCTTTAAGAATATACAGATACAGGATAATTAATAGGTAGGGAAGGGTACAGTACAGAATATGGAATAGATATTTTTACATTTTTTTTGCAAATAACTAGGCCTACTTAACCAATTTTGAGTAAAAAGCAGTTAAAAGTGATGGGACACATGATAGAAACCAAAAATATCAGATATAAATTCAGACACTTTAGAAATTTGGTTGAACTTTTGTCATAGGATATCCAGCAAACTTGTGTCTAGGTACCTTCCCCTGCGCCAACTCTGCTTTGGTTCTGACAGTGATAAAGTCATTCTTAATGATAACCTAATTTTATAATCAGGATTGGTACTAAAAAAGTGCAAAACAACATTCCAGTAAAAAAGATATTCAATGAATAATTTCAGCAACAAAATAAGGTCATGTAAAAAAATATGTCCTATGTAAGTTTCACTTTTTCATCATCCTTTTTATTATAGGTGAGGAAAAAGGCCAATAACTTAAATATTTTTATGGGGAAAATGTCCTGATGAAGGCTAGAAAAGACTCACAAAAATCTCATTCACGATATTTTTTTTGGAAGTGCAGTATATTTCAATAATGCCTAAGAAGTAATTTGGAAAACATAGACAGCTGTTGTTGCACTAGTTCCAGATATAAAAAGGTGTGAGACACTACAGGACTATTCATAATTCACAGATTGTAGCCATCAAATGGATTTCATAAAAAAAGAGTTAAAATTACTGAAAAACGGGACAATAAACAATTGATTATATTTTTTTATTACAGGACTGTAAAAATTACAAATGCATGTTAAAAAAAAATTATGAAAAAGTGAAATTTAAATACTAAATTTATAGGTTGAAAAAATTAGTTTGCCCTCCAATTCGAAACCACCTAGCCTTCAGTGGTCTCACAGTTCCATCTCCCTGTGTTTGAAAAGACTAACGATTGTTAGTTGGTCTTGAATTAGAGGGGTCGCGAATTGGAGAGCAAACTATAATACTGTATCACTAAAAAAAGCTACTGAGAGGTACTTATAAATGTGGGAGCATGTTGTGGTTTGGTGGTTAACATGCTTGCCTTCCAATCAAGGATCCGGGTTCAAATAAACTGAAACACCATGATTTAAATCACAGTCACAACTATAAAACAACTATTTCTCCAACTTTTAAACAATTAAAGTTTTTATCATGTAATTGGCGACATACTTACAACCATAAACCACAACATAGTGTTAGATTCAATTTTCTTTTAATGCAGGAAGTCTCCTCTTAACAAAACATAATTTAATTTGGGATTCAGTGTTTAATCTAGTACTAACAAGCATTAATAACAAGTAAATGAATTTACATTTGGTTACAAACAACAATAGTTTAATCAAAATTAAAATGAGTATGATGTATTACTTTCTTTTGCCTTTATTTATAATCAAATACAACTCAGACATGATGACAGGTTTAATCACAAGTTCTAAAAATTGCAAACATAATAATGGGCTTGCTGTTGAGAAAATAAGCATGCCTTGTTCAGGTTCCGATACAGAAACCCAATACTTCAATCAGTTATTGTCCCATTTCAAAATTATTCCACATCCTTTCTAATTGAAAATAATCTTTGATACAACACATTATAAACTCATTTAATTTAAATTAAAACCTTCCAGAGAATTTCACAGTACTGTACTGTAGTGGAATGAGAAGACTGGTGGCGCTATGTAAGTTGCATGATGCCATTGTAATTATTAAATTGTATCATTGTATTTTAGCAACTAGTGGTGAGGCCCCAACCAAAAAATAATGCAATCACAGTCTCTGAACTTACCTTGATTTAAATATGTCAATAAAAAATATAAATGAAGTATTTATGGTGACAACATCAGTTTCAATTTTTGAGTACCACATAAGAAATTTAAATTAAAAATTAAAAAAGTTTTAAAAACAAATATTCACTTATACACAGATATTTTTAATCCTTACTATCATCTGTTGATAATTCAACTGACGTTGGAACAATAAAATATTTAGTGCACATTTAAAATCATTCCCAACAAAATGGACATTCTGTGATACCTGTATTGAAAATATGAAGTAGACATAGATAGTGAAAGTATCAACCACCCCAGAAAATTTTCAGGCATAACTTCTTCTTTTTTTTTTTATTATTGTCAATTTATTTTACCATGAATTCACATATATATGGCAGGCAGAAACAAAACATTTTGAATTCCACACACAATAAGGAAAACAAAAGATGAATGAAAGTGTATCCATTGAGTGAATCTAATAGCTGGTTCTGATTTTCCCACACTGGTATTGGGAGGCCCAAGGTATTAACAAGAGGCCATAATAGTTACTATTTTAATACAAGTTATATTAATATAGTTAAAAAATAATCCAATTAACATGTTTCATATGTGATAAGGTTCCTAAATTTATCCTTAAAATATATATTATCACACTCGTTACTCTAAATACAGCTTGAAAAACAATTCCATATATAATTTTAAAATGTTTCTGTATTGATTGTTATAAAGAGAACAGAAAATTGTGGAATTCAGATTACTGAGGGAATATTTGGGGATTTTGCTTGTAGCAAAAATAGAAATTTAATTCTTAAAATTTATGGGTAATTTTCAACCACACATAATCCTGAATTAACTTAATTTGCTAGGCCTATGTCTTCTGCTTTATTTTTTATTATACTTTTTCCCACTCCCAATATTTTGATCTGGCAATCTCTAACAAGGGAATTTTATCCAACCTTTTTACTACAGCAACCGATGCATTTCTGTAGAGAATACAATGCAACTAGGAGAACACATCAGACTGTTTATAATGACATTTTGCTCACACTGCCCGGCACGACAATCAGTGGAAGGCATTGTGTTGTCATGTGCTCACACAGATGGATTTGTTAACCATCGGTGGAACACACGAATAGGCATATGAAGGTTTAAAAGTATTTTAAATGTTTTTATTTCTCTTTTATCTAACGGTATTTAGGATGGATCTATGCAAAAAATACAGGTACGCTTTCATGCACCTTTTAATTGGAGACAAAAATACCTAGTTTTTGTCCTAATTATTGGCTTATTTACATTATGATATAATCCCCACATACTTACTGTTGTGTTGTTTAGAGGTAGTACATTGTGTTTTAGAAATAACATTGACTCACTGATTGACTCTTGATTCTTCTCTACTGTGGCAGACATTCCAATCCTTGCACATTAAAAATTGGGACACGTCAATCTAGAAGTGGAACATTATATTTTTCAAAATGGGACAGTTGGAATCTATGCTATGGCGATGCTCTACGCTTAAACCAAAATGCTGCTTAAAGTAAAGTATTCAGAAATATATAATCTTCATGATTATAAATATTAATAAAAATAATAATTAAAATAATAATTAATAACTACTTTATATAAAACACAGAAAAGCTTGTATCACCTGGTGGGTGTTCTTAAAAGATAGTGTGATTGCCATAACAACAATTATGGAGTGGAAACTAAAGCAGTCACTCCATAGAGTGTACCTCCGCCCTGTGCCTGACTACAGTACCAACAATACACAGGCAGAGAATGATGGGCAAAATTGCAGCATACCCTCAATGAAATTAATGGAATCTCCTGCTGTATTTAGGCACACTGTTTTCTTAAGTGCTGCTTTATACAAGGGGTAATTCCATTACTTTCTTATATGCTCGAGGGTAGTAAAAAAAAAAATCTAATTTCTGTGACCTTGAGCTTTAATAGTTTCTTCCGAAAAATTTAAAGGTGCAGAGAATACAGAATTTCCTTTGTGGAGGTAAAATATAAAGACAATTTAAAATATTATTATATTAATACATCAGGCAAGAATAGAACCTGAAGTAACTTAATTAACAATACTCTCAATTTAAGTTAATCAATGCATATAAAAAATAACCAATATTAATACCAATTGTATTTCCCACTTCTCTACTGCCTTTTCTTGTCCCACTTTCTGTAACTCCCTTCCCTTTATCTCACTCTAAGAAGGAAAGGAGGGGAGAGTGAAAAGTGAAAGGTTACAGATCAAGAGTCTCAAGCTACATTTGTTCACTCATTCAATTCTAAGGATAATTATGGTGGTTGCTTAACAACATACACCTCAATGACGGCACTGTTATATAGGCCTACTTCACAAGAGCATGTAACGAGTACTTGGCTAGTACTAACTGTAGAACTCTAGCAAAGTACACAATTAGGAAATGATTAAACACCTGAGGGCTCCCTTCACACTGACAGTTACTACAAGCATGAAACTATTATGATTATTAAAATACTGCCTTGATACAATAGTGTGGGCACAGAAACATGCCTAATTTTAGACTCACATAGTCCTAGTCTTAGTCTTCAACTGCCTGTACCCCCAACCCTTGCTCTCATTATCATAGCAAATCAAGTATCTCACTTAAAATCAGGGTCCCTACACAAACTAGCAAAATTCAAGGATAATGTCCAGGATATTGCAGGTCAATTTTTCTCAATTTCAAGGGCACCTCTGCAGAGTGTAGGCAGTACACGTAGACAGCTTGAAAGAGCCAGTTTATAGATAGAGAAAATTCTACTTTCTCTATGGTTTATACCAGTGATAGAACAGTTACATGTGTGCCATCCTAAGGATCTTGCGCACATTCAATGACAAATATTGGAATGGGTGGAAGTAGATGCACAAATAGTAATAATACCAATAAAAATATAACTAGTAATTGAAAATAAAATTAAACAACATTAGTTAATGATTAAGTAATGGACTTGCGTTAGTTCTTACAACACCCAAACGGATGGATATTTAAATAGAATTTTCACATTTTGGGTTTCAGAAATCCATTAAATAAGGTCCTCAAAAATACTTCGCCCAAGTAACTATACCCAACTCTGCTCCTGGACCTCACTGGGGGGGGGGGGCCCTACAGCCTAAGACTCGCTTCGCTTTTAAAACACTTACCATAATTATTATTATTAGGTAGGCCAAATAAGAAAATATACTTGTTTTGGGTCACCACCCTCACCTGAATTTTCGAGCAAAAATAAAAATTTAAGAGGCAGGAATTTTTTTTTTCCTAATTAAAAAAAAATATGAATATTGTCCATGAAATGTTAATCAAAATAAGTATAGGACTATTTTAAGTAAATTAAAACAATGACTTTACCATCCCCACTTTAAAATTTGTTGAGATGTGATGCTAAACAAGTAATTTTTTTTATTTGGCCTAACTTAAAAATAGATATACTGTGAATTATAATACGGATGGAAGGTGTTCTGTACACCCTTATTGTAATACTGTATAGGAACAATTTCATTCATGCCAAAAAAAAAAACTTAAATACAAATTTGTATGAAACCATGCCCTTCGGGTCTGCTATGAAATTCAAAATACATGGGAAATATAATGATAATCATCGCATCATTATCCTGACACAGAACTAAACAAAAACATATTATATAGCGATATGTAGAGGGATATCATGAGAAGGATTGTATAACAAGCAATTCAGATCAGAGAGATAAAGTTTTTTCTACCTTTACATAGTGATTGAAAATACATTGAACTATTAATACAAAAGAGTAAAATAGACAAGAGTTTAACCTGCTTTTATTCAGAGGTTTACACAGAGGTGGTTATCTATCAGAGGAACAACCACAACCGGAAATTCTCGTCACAATCCAGATCAACTAAAATACTTTTTTTACTTTGTTTTTGTTTTGCTTGGGAATTGTGTTATGGTTCATTGTTGAAGTTATTCCCAGGGTTGCCCGAGAGTATTCTAGGAAAATTTGAGCGCGGTTTTTAAAAGAAAATTCATTGTATAGAAAAGTAATACAAAAATGTGTTATGTGTAAGAATACTGTAGTATATAAAATAATACTCATTTCTTAAAAATACATTTTATAAGAATGCTGAAGTCAAAATCACCTAAGAAATTAGAACAAAAATAGAATAAAATTATGCTGAGGTGAAATGTCAAATGAATTTTAATTTGCCAATCCATAATATTGTGGTCCAAAAGCACAATTCTGGGCCATTCTAAACCATAAGATCTCTCTACATAACATCAGCTGGGAATTTTATTCCAGGACCCTGAGGTTCTAAGCAACTCCTTGGTTCTAGACCCCTCTCTAGGATTGGACCCCCTGTCAGCAAATTTCTGGCGCAAACACTGAGTGTGAATGATCAGTTGAAGATATGTTCCATAGGGACAGGTTGGGAATACTTTTGAAGCCAACAGAAGCTTTGCTAGGTGCATTAGAACACACAGGCGCAATATTGGTCATATCAACATATCAAAAAAAAGCAGAGGTACATTACATTAGCTATAGCTAAAAAAACTCAACCTAGCATTTGTAAAGCACTCCAAAAGCAAATTATAGCACCGTTATATGCTATAGCAGATTGTCTGATAATTATGCTACTTATTGATATTGGTCTGATGTAGCTGGTTGTAGCAGTTTCAAATCCTAAATATCACCATAATAATTTTATAGCATTGATATTTAAAGATATATCACTTTAACTGATACTTGTTTGCAATATGCTTTATGTAACTGCTATCTGATTCATGTATCATTTAACTGCTATAATGAATGCTATTTGCAGCTGTATAGCAGCTATTTTTCAACTGATATATACCTGATATATATATATCTGAAGTCGCCATGGTGGTAGTAGTAGCAGTAGTAGTATTTTTCTTTATTTTTTTCAGCAGAAATATATGGGTGGCCATTAGGGTCAAAACGTTATAAAGATATCCTGCTTTCTTTTCTCTATTTCTTACGTAAACCTGGATTTAAACTTTTCAAATCGTTTCTACAATGTTTCTTTAGGCTTCATCAGTACTTTACTGAGAATGCATCAAGAGTCAATTGGTCAATTTATTGATTTTGTATCATCGGCACACCTTTTTAGTGTAACCGTACGACGACTAGACAATAATTAATTGACATAGAGAAAACACAAAATAAAAAATAAAAAAATAACATGTTCTCTGCCTTATAAAGTATAATGAACATAACCTGATGGAAAAATAAACTCAAAGGGAAAACTAGGAGGGAAAAAAAAAATACCTTTAATTATTGAGTTTGTTGTTAATTTAAGTTTGTCCTTTGTTTGTTGAGTTTGTCTTTCATTTGTTGAGTTTGTCCTTTGTTTGTTGAGATTGTCTTTTGCTTGTTGAGTTTGTCTTTTGTCATTTATTTGTTGAGTTTGTCCTTTGTTGAGATTGTATTTTGTTTGTTGAGTTTGTCCTTTATTTGCTGAGTTTTCTATTTTGACCCTAATGGCTGCCCATAGTAACATACCATGACTGTCATACCATTACTGACTTCTAGGTTATGACTTGACCACCTTATTCCTACCTTGCTATTTGAGACAACCCTAAGCAGGCCCTCGATAGCACAACAAAGACTTGATTTTACCTATAAAACTGTACCATAAAATGTAATAAAGTTAATTTCCAAAATTAACAATAGCTTCAGTGAGGTTCTATAGGAGAGCCTATATAATGCAGTCCTTCAAGTGCAGTACATCAGGAGTGAAAGCACCCTAGGGTGTAATGGTTGGCACTTGTTAATTTACAGGTATACATGGAATGTATTCACAGCCTCAGGTTGTCTTTACATCTGCTACTTGTATCCTGTGCTAATACATCAGTTCCTTTGGCTGGGACAAATTGACCAAAAGTAGCAGACCACTCAAGAAATCTACTAATAAATGTGCTAGAGTATTGTAGCTAATTTACAGAACACATCATTACATGCCAATTGGCAGTTTACCACATTTGTAATCATCGACAGCATCAAGGTTAGACACATAAACATTTTGATTGTTAAAGTTTTTCTTGGTGTGAACGACAGGGAAAAGCATTAGTAAATGCTCTTCCTGACGTGGGCAGTGCCACCTTCTAAGAAAACCAGGTAATAAATGCTACTGTGATATTACTGCTGTTTGCAGTGTTACCTAATAGCAATTAGTCAATTAATAATAATCTGAACAAATGTGAAATGTATTCCCATCAGAACTGAATCAGGAAGTACCGAAAAGAGTGATCCATTATTTTATTACTTTTAAGAGATTACAAAGCACTTTAAATGATACCTTGTGCAAGTATCTTTATTCTTTATTATTGTAATCATTTATCACTTGTGTCATAGTTGTATAGCAACAGGCAAAACAAATTCGTTCCTATGTTTGATCAATGAAATAAAGAAATTATTTTTTTTATCAGGTTAATTTATTTTTGTTACTAAAGTGTTTCTAGGGATATTCCAAAATGCGGGAGTTGTTAGTGAGAAAGGTGCACTCAGACTCTCAACCGTAAGGTTGGGGTTCGGATCCTACGTTAGTAATTTTCTTCTGTTCCTGGCACAGGCAGCACATTTTAAAGTTTGTCTCTCTTTACCCAGGAGTATAAATGGGTACCTGGTGGGATACAAATATTTTATGTTGAATATATGGTCTATACTAATTTAAATGTATGACTAGGCATATTCCCCAGTATGCAGAGCATGGTGGTGGTTGGACATTACCTGTATGGCCATTCAGACAGTGGAGGTAATTGGATGGTGTGTATGACCCTTAGACTTTCCAATGAACAGCCAAATAATGTGAAGTGCAGTGCTATAAATGCCAAAAATGATTAATCATTATTAATTAAAGTACTTTTTAGCAAAAAGGTCATGTTTTGGCTAGCCTAAAAGCCTACATTCCTTGTACTGAATGTTTATTGGTTTTGTATTTGATCCTCATGTGCAGTATTAACTCACAGAAGTTGAACAAATCAGGCCGTTATTGACATACTGTTTACATGCTGAAGTAAATAATAATAAACAACATGAAAAAAAAACCTGTGGCTTACCATTTTAATAGTTCAAATGAGTCAGTTTTATTTTGGGTGGCTCAGTAAATCTGTCATGGCAACAGTGGTGAATGGTAGGGAAGTTGGTATAATTAGCGAATTATGTAAAAAGCACGGCTGGCAGTCTAGCCACTTGACTTTGCCAGAGGATAGAGAGAGGGAGGGAAAGGTCAAAGTAATGATACGAAGGTTAAAAAGAAGAAGAAGGTTGAGATATGTAGAGGCAGTGGTTGAGTCAAGTAGAGGCAGTGGTTGATAGTGTAGCCCACCGTGTGTACACTTCCTGGAATGCATACCATAACAGGCAGTGACCGCAAGTGCCGCTAGCCAATTTGTACCTAATTTTATGAATACCAATCATAAGATGAGACACAGTGTGCTCCTGTTCAATAACTACCTCTGTAAACTTAAACTTACAGTTGCTTTAATACACTTCTTTTTTTTTTATAAGAACCAGTAAAATTTTGCCCAGGCTCAGTGTTCTTATTTTTTGGCCAATTTCAGGCTC